TTTTTATTATTATTTTTATTATTATTTTAACATGCATTTTATTTTTAAGCTGTTAGTCAACTCAAGTGATAGCCTGTCCAAGACCACATTGCTTTCCAAATGCAGAACCAGAATGAAACTTGCTTCAGTCTGTCAAAGGATTGGTTCAAGCAGTGTTAGACTTCATTTTCTCAAGAAAAATCTGTGTTAGTCAGATCTATTAAAGAAGATTTTGAACTTGACTGTGTAGAAAGATGTAATTTTTTGGCATAGTCAAGCAGCAAATATTGTTCTTTCTTAAACATATGCTATTTGTCACAAAATATCCAAGTACTTTTTAAAGTCATAGACATTAGCATTAGGCAGGTTGAAAACTTGTTCTTAGTATCTTGTGTTTCAGCAGAATGTTCCAATATATAGAAACACTGATGTCGTAAGTTTATGCAATAAGAAAATATGGGAGCTATTGATTGTATTTTAAAACAATGCTTGATTTTTGTCTGTCTACCATTTATAATAAAATGAAGCCTTTTTTCTGGTGTCCTTATGCACACAAAACTAAACTGACCTGACTTCAGCATTGGAAGACTCACAGCTATTAGAAAAAAAAGGTTCCCATGGAGTTGTTATAGTCCCTATTACCTCCAATAATTGCAGAGTCACTTCTGATTGCATTAGCTAAAGGTTCTCCCTCATCTATTGGTCCAGAGTGATCTGCAGCAGAAAAAAAGGAAAGTGACAGACACATAGAAGAAGAGTTTTCAAGAAATTCTCACATGGTTAAGGCTCGTGTACAGTATGGTAGTGGCAGTACTGTGGGTCAGTAAGCATGCAAAGAAGAGCAGTGATGTAGATGATACTTTGCAGAGATAAAAAGAAAAACGTAAACATTCAGAGGAAAAGAGAAAGGCTAGAGAAAAGGAAATAAGAAGATACAAAAGAGAATTATTTTTCAAACTACTCCTGAGATGTTAACACACATGGAAAAAAAAAAAAAAGACAGTTGTGATTCAGGTCATGAGTACTCTATTTAGAATTTGCTTCAGAGATCAGAACAAGTGATAACCATATGCTACCTGCAAATGAATGGGTTGTTTCACTTGATGTTGAGTCAGCTCCGGTTGAAGTACCACAGTTGGATTCAGTGAAGCGTCCCTTTACAATGATGGGGGCTGAGCTGCTGTGGTGCAGTGCAGCCTTCAAAGGAGCAATGTGGTTGAACTGCACTGAAGAGAGACATCCAATAAACCCCTGAGAATTTGCCTTCATAGTCTCCTCATCTACATCACTGTTTTCTGTTAATCAAAAGGAACAGAACACAATTAATCATAGTGAAAATGTACAAAATAAAGTGACAGAAGAATAAATGAATAATTAACCTGTGTTCCTCTGAGTATATTTTAGCTACAGCAACATATGTAGATTCAGTGAATCCCTTTCTTGTCTGTCTTTAATGAAAAGACAGTCAGATACATTCAACCTTTATTTTTTAACAGATGATAGTTGTTACGCTGCTGAGGGAAATGCTTTTAACTTACTATAGCAAGTTCCAAAGCAAAAAGATTCAAATGTAGCTGAAATATTTAGATTAAAATGCAACACTTTTTCATTCTGCAAAAAGATAAGGATGAAGCCTGCATTCATGAAAGATACGTATTTTATTATATTTTTTCTCATAAATATGTACATTGTTGGATCATATTCTTTCCACAGGTTCATATATCTACTCCATCCTCTCACCATCAAGTCTGTCAAAACAAAAACTCTCTGAAGACCTCACATCCTGGAAATCTATGAAGATATTTTCTGTGAAATTCTAAAAACTGAATGTTGTTCCAATTTACTATGCATTTTAAACATGATACCATTATCTTTCCCACTAAGGAAAAAAAAAAAAAAGAGCCCTCCTCCCCCACCTGTTAGTCTCTTGAGCTGCCTTTCTGAAGGTATGTACCCTGTCAGAGCTCTCTATTTATTCACCAGTTAATGCCTACTATAGAAATGAAAAACAGTTTATTTACTTTGACAGTTCTAATTTAAGCAAAAACTCTGGAAGTACTAATTATTCAAAGAGGACTCTTAAGGAAAGTAAGTTTTCAAGTTTTGTGCAAATAAAATGGGAATTTCATTTCCACCTCCAACTTATCCTAGAAACTGTGAATGAACTTGTGATCTTCACAATGGCTATCATAACAGTTTGAAATACCAATGTACACTCGTCAATACAATTAGGTTAATAGTGAAAAACTGGCTAATGTGTTTTGGTAGAATGTTGCAAAATAGTACAGCAGCATTTTCTTCAACTGCTCTGTGCCTGTTGCAATGATGACATATTAGATAGATGGATGTCAGCCAAAAGTCTGCTTACCTACACTGATGGATCACGTAAAATGTTGAATGTTTAACTACCTTTGTTCTCTCTGTAGTATACACTGCTTCTGATGATTACATCACTGCACTGAAGAATCTGCTAGATCTGGATGTCTTAAGAAAAAGACTAACTTGAGTTGGCAAGCAAAAAATATCTAAAAGCCCTTGTGATAAAAATATATGTCTCTAACTACTAGGATTGAAAATCTGAAGAGGGAAGTAGTTTCTATTATTTTCTAATTTCCTGTACAAACCATTTTGTAAACATTGTATGTGTATAATATGAAAGGAAATTAAATATTTAAAATCCTTACTGTTCACTTGACTTACTAGAAAATACTGATGGGATAAAGTAAAATTTTTTACTAGATCAAGCAATCTTGCTAGTAAAAATCATAAGGTTTAGGGAAGACAAACACTTCCCACTCTAGTGTTTAAGTCAAATTTAACTGATTGAAAATCACACACACACACACAAGTTGTTTATCAGAGACTGTATTTTATAGTAAACTGTGGTTATGTATCCTTAAGCATCTTTATAGAAATCAATTTGCTAAATGCATTCAATTTTTTTTCAAGGTTATTGAGTTTGTTGAGTTCAACACAAACTCAATAACCTTCTTCAGTTCTGCTTCAACCACCTTTCCTCTGTGAGGTACTATGGAAAGTCAGCAGACATACAGCTCCTAGCAGAACATTTTAAGGTAAGAACTGTGCAATCAAAAGACTAGCTTTGACTTTTCTGCTTTTATGATGTTGGAAGATTTCAAATTTTTTTCATGTTCCTGCACAATCTTATCTTCTCTCGAAATCAGACAAGTCCTTGATATGTTGAGTGAACTATTGGCTGATGGGTCAGGATCAAAGAATTATAGTAAATGGGGTTGCATCAGACTGCTGGTCAGTCACCAGTGGGGTTCCCCAGGCCTCAATTTTAGGGTCAGTGCTCTTTAATGTTTTTATAAATGATCTGGACACAGGAGTCCAATGTACATTAAGTTTGTTGATGATACTGAATGAGGAGGAGCTGTGGACTCCCTCAAGGGTAGGGGGGCCTTACAGAGAGATCTGGATAGACTAGGGAGCTGGGCAATCACCAACTGTATGATATTTAACAAAAGTAAGTGTAGGATTCTCCACCTGGGATGGGATAATCCTGTTTATACATACAAATTAGGGGATGAGAGGCTGAAAAGCATCCCGGTGGAAAGAGATCTGGAGGGCTGAGTTGATGTCAAGCTGAATAAGAGTCAACAGTGTGCACTGACAGCCAAAAGGGCCAACTGTGTCTTGGGGTGCATCAAGCACAGCATCACCAGCGGTCAAGAAAGGTGATTGTCCCAATCTACACAGCATGAGTGTGGCCCCACCACAAATAGCCTGTGCAGTTTTGGGCATCTTAATATAAGAAGGACATCAAACTAATAAAGTGTATCTAGAGGAGGGCTACTAAGGTGGTGAAAGGTCTTGAGGGCAAGACAGGAGGAGCAGCTGAGGTCCCTTGGCTTTTTCAGCCTGGAGAAGAGAAGGCTGAGGATTGACCTCATGGCAGTCTACAGCTTCCTTAAGGGGGGCAGTGGAGGTGGAGGTACTGATCTCTTCTCTCTGGTAACCTGTGATAGGACATGAAGAAATCGAATGAAGCTGGGTCAGGGGAAGTTCAGACTGAATATTAGGAAAAGATTCCTCACTGAGACAGCGGTCTGTCACTGGAACAGGCTCCCCAGGGAAGTGGTCACTGCACCAAGACTGTCAGAGCTCAAGGAGTGTCTGGATGATGCTCTTAGTCATATGGTTTAGTTTTAGGTAGTCCTCTGAGGAGCAGGGAGTTGGACTTGATGATTCTTATGGGTCCCTTCCAGTTCAAGATATTGCATCAGTCTATGACTCTATGAATCTGCTCAATAGAAAAAATGAATGCACATTTGACTTTCACAGTTAAATTACCAGCTGGAAGTAATAACAATGTGCTTAGAATGGACTGTTGCAAAATCTCACGTTTGTGCAACCAGCCTGTGTTGATATGAAAACGTTACTAACGCCAGGATTTTTACATTAAAAGTGCTTATTACAGTTAAAATTGATTACACCTATACACCCACTGATTTCAGTTGCATCATATAGGTTGGTTGCTTGATTTTTTTTCCCTGTGGTTAATATGTGACCACATAAATACCACTATGCTGTTACTATTTTTTTTATATGACAAAATACAACATTATTTTACTGAAGTTCACTTACAATTCAGATTGAAATGACCAGGAGGAGATAAATTGCTGAAAAATGTATCATTAAACAATTATTTTTCTGATTTTATTGCACAAAAGAATATCTTCTAAAAACACCGCAAAACTCTCTGGGCCCCTTTTCCTTAATTTGCTATTCATTTCAGCAGTTTATTGCTGAAAAAAATGCCAGTAAAGAAAGTAATTTGATTAACAGGAAGTAATAGATAGTTCTGTCACTGGAAGTCACAAGTGGGTGTTATTGTGGAATTATCATTTGTCACACTGCTGAGATTGAGTAGAAAAAAAATTTAAAATAAAACATTAGAAGGAAAATATTTTGCGAACAGAATTATTTCATCAAACTAAAGTATCTCTATTAAATACCTGAAAATTGATTTAGTGAGAGTCTAGTGAAAATTTGCCTTTATTTATTATTGAAATAACCATATTTTACACTGTTGATGTCCATATTCAGTGTGATGCCTTCGTTTAAGCGAATTGGCTTAAAAACACACATTCTCTGAGGCTGGTGAAACTTTGTGTATAAATCAGACCTAAGTAATTCTTGCTGAAAGCCTATCTTTATCTCAGTTGACATGGAAAGGTTAACAACTCCCACTGAAGAAAAACATTGCCTGCAGTTCACCACTCTAACCTTGGGGAAGTCTGGGAAGCTTTGTCCCAGGCAAACGTGGCTTTACTCAGTGGAAGTGAATTACTTCCTCAGTGGGTTGCTGTAAAAAGAGAGGTTTTTTACAGCCTTCTTACACTGTGGGGTGCTTTGAGAGAAAATATCTTCTTAGAAGGAAAAAAAACATAAAGAGCCTTTTGGCTCGTATCCTGTGAACTCTGCGACTGAGTGTGCTGCTTCTCTTTTTCCTCACAACTTAATCTTCCCATATTTTGCTGAGTCCCAACACAGCCTAGTTCCCTGACTATTTTGTCACAATGGTGCATGATATAAATTCAGAACTCTTTACGTCGGAAGCCTTAGGTTCTGGGAAGTAAGGAATAACACTGATTTTTTTTTTCCTGGAAATTCAAAATTAGTTCAGCAGCTAACTCTCAGATTTGCTTTCAACAAAAAAACTGAGCTATGTACAACTGCAGAAGAGCTCAGACAAATACTTCTCCAACTGAGGAGAGTTCTTAGAAAATCCATGCTTTCTGACTTACTTTAGAACTTGTGGGGTTTTCCTGAAGAACATTTCAAAGTACAAGAAATACATAATTTCATATTTTGTTACTCCTTCTTCTGTTTAGACCTCTTCACTACAGCAAACACTCATTACTTTTTTCTACTGCCTTCACAAAGTCTCCTTCCATCTCTAGACATGGCTTCACAGAAATTAGGACCCAAAGCAGTCAGATGCATAAAAGAAACAGCAGCTGTTCAATAGCATTTCTCCTTTGAAAGGGAGAGAAGTATAACACACATTTTCTTCAGGACAGATTCTGTAAACTGAGACAAATTGGGCTGAGTGTCCCCACAGGTTGCTGTAACTCCATGCTTCACACTACTGTGATGATGCAAAGCCTTCGTATAACTGAAGAAATTCCCACCTCTGAACTTTTATAACAGTGTGGTTTCTTCGGAAGAGACAGCATTAGTTCTGATTAAAAGAGGCTGTTATTGGCCTAAAAATGTGCATTTCAATACATTGCCTCAAAAACATCTTTAAGTAAATTGATGCAAGCTTTGATACGGAACTTCGTAACAAAGATACCAAAACCTGTAATTCTGTACTGGTCATTGTAATATTACCCTTATGTGAGTGTGACTGCAATAAATTATTAAACTTCAAAACATTTTAAATACCTGGTTTAGTTTTCTCACCCATTTGTGGGGTTTTGAAATACTTTAAACAATTTTCTTCTAGTAGGTTATAGTTCAGCTAATATTGCTTTAAAATTATGCTTAAATGATCATTCTCTTTTCCATTCTCTGTGCATATCTACATACCAGTTCTTTTCTAGACTGTGAGTTTTATAAATAAAATCTACCTTTACAAAATAATATACATTTCTGTTTGTATTAGAGGTCCTTAGTTATTTTTCCAGTAAGGAAACAGATCAGCTACACTGAGCTCTTCCAAACAATCAAAACTAAACAATAATTAGGATTTTTCTTTTCAAGTCTATAAATATGACCTTTAAATTTCATTATTTAATACATTTTAAGCTATTTAACATTTGGTTACCATCATTATTAAAACAATTATCATTGTATGCATTTTGTTATATATTAAAGATTATTCTTCTACCTGTTCTAGATAACACTCTCGGAATTGAAAACACAACCATCTATTTGATGGATACGGAATTAGCTGGATGGCCTTATCCAAATAGTTGCACACAACAGCTCAATGTCTAAATGGTGATCAGTAGCAACTGTGTCCCTCAGGGGTCCACACTTGAACCGGTACTGTTTGATATATTTATTAATAACATAGGCAATAGGATTAAGTGCATCCTCAGCAAGTTTGTGGATGACACTAAGCCAAGTGGTGCAGTTGTTTCACTAGAGGGAAGGGATGCCCACACTTGAGGAGTGGGCCAATGTGAAGCTCGTGAAGCTCAACAAGGCCAAGTGCAAGATCTTGCACCTGGGTCAGGGTAATCCCCAGCATCAGTACAGACCAGGGGAGAATGGGTTGAGAGCAGCCCTGAGGAGAAGGACTTGGGGATACTTGTGGATGAATAATTGGATATGAGCTGGTAATGTGTTCTTACAGCCTAGAAAGCCAACTGTATCCTGGGCTGCATCAAAAGAAGCATGGCCAGCAGGTCGAGGGAGGTGATTCTTGCCCTCTACTCCATGCTTATGAAACCCCACCTGGAGTACTGCGTACAGCTCTGGGCTACTGAGCAAAAGATAGACATGAACTTGTTACAGTAGGTCTAGACGAGGCCACAAAGATGATCAGAGGGCTGGAGCACCTCTGCTATGAAGACAAGCTGAGAGAATTGATGTTGTTCAGCCTGGAGAAGAGAAGGCTCCGAGGACACCTTATAGTAGCCTTCCAGTATCTAAAGAGGGATTACAAGAAAGCTGGAGAGGGACTTTTTACAAGGGCATGTAGTGATAGGACAAGCGGTTTGGGCTTTAAACTGAAAGAGGATAGATTTAGATTAAACATAAGGAAAATTTTTATTTTTCTTATGATGAGTGTGATGTGGGACAGTTGTTGCCCGAGCAGTTGTGGATGCCACCTCACTGTAAGTGTTTATGATCAGGTTGTATGAGGCTTTGAGCAATCTGATCTAGTGAAAGTTGTTCCTGCCCGTGGCATGAGGGTTGGAAGTAGAAGAAATTTATAGGTCCTTTCCAACTCAAACCATTCTATGATTCTATGATTTTATACATCAACCTATTAAATTAATTACTCTTGAAATATCACATTCAAATCTTTCTCAATTAATCCCCTTGCATATCTACTTTTCTAAACAATGATAGGTCAGAAATCACCTTAATTATGTTTCTCTGTCGTGAAGTTGAAGATTTCATTAAGTTCTTTTTTCTAGTCAAGTTTACATATAGGAGAGGGTATATTTGGAACTGATTTGTGTGTGTGTGTGCATGTATGCACACATGTATGTGACAGAAAGAGTAAAACTTAAATTTTTACTCACAATAGAGTAGAAAAAAAATTTCATACATATTTTGTTTTGGATTTACATTATTTGAATGTAGACAACGGTCAGACAGAAACTGGCAGAGACTTACTGCCTCCCACCCAGTGGCATGATGAACTATTTCAGATAATGCTTTGTTAGTAGGAGATTCTTTGGGAAAACATAATGGTGTTGTCTACCATCATAGCCAGGACAGTATTTCTGGGTCTGTTACAATGGCAGAAACATTAATTTACCAAAGCTGTTATGTTGTTCCCAAAGGTACTATATGAAAAGTGGTAGATATATGGATCCTGGAGGGGCACCCCAGGGACATAGTAATAAAATTCCTCCAAACTAAACCACATACAACTGAATGTGAAGAAAACTCTTCTATCTTCTGGTTTAGGATAGGTATTATATAAAACATGTAAATAGTTCCTATAAGCCTAGGGGAGCTAGATAAAGTAATATATTGTCTATGCTAATTTGAGATGAAAACTCTATTTCTTTGATGTCACATATCACAGTTTCCTGAATTTATTTCTACAAAAAGCCTCTGTTGACACTTCAGCTTTCTTAAAGAGATTTTTAAAGAATGGGAAACCATCACTCCTTTGCAGGCTTACTGGCTAAATGTTGAAGCACCAGAGTTAGAGAGGGAGGCAGTTGATTTCTCTGATCTTGTTTTGGAACATGGTATATAATCTCTGTTAAAAATTGCTTTTATTTAAAATAAACAGAATTGATTTTGGTAATGATGATAAACTGTGTGCCATATGAAATTATAAACATTTAAGATCTATAAACTTAGATATAATCTTTTCTAATAAGGCGTATTTTAGTGAACCTATTTATTCTGCACTTAGCCTAAGACCACTTGTGGAAGGGTGAAAACAATCAGCCTAATAACAAAATGGTGAAAAGGTCAGCATAGTCTTAGTTACTATATATCACAAACTATATCAGCTCCATTTTCATTTTGTTGCAACAAAAAGTGTTATTAGAGGAAGAATGTACAAATGGACCTTTACTTGATAAGGGAATGTAGCAACACAGACTTTAACTGTTCCCCATCTTTGTTGGTGACATGGATAGTGGGATTGAGGGCACCCTCGACAAGTTTGCCAATGACACCAAGCTGTGTGGTGCGGTTGACACGCTGGAGGGAAGGGATGCCATCCAGAGGGATCTTAACAGGCTTGGGAGGTGAGACCACACAAACCTCATGAAGTTCAACAAGGCGAAATGCAAGGTCTTGCACATGGGCCAGGGCAATCCCAAGCACAAATACTGGCTGGGCAGAGAATGGATTGAGTGCAGCCCTGAGGAGGAGGACTTGGGGGTCCCGGATGACGAGAAGCTCAACATGACCCAGCAATATGAACTTGCAGCCCAGAAAGCAAATCATACCCTGGGCTGCATCAAAAAAAGCATGGCCAGCAGGTTGAGGGAGCTGATTCTCCCCCTCTACTCAGCTCTGGTGAGACCCCACCTGCAGTACTGCCTTCAGCTCTGGGGCCCCCAGCACAAGAAGGACATGGACTTGCTGGAGCGAGTCCAGAGGAGGGCCACGAAGATGATCAGAGGGCTGGAGCACCTCTACTATGAAGATAGACTGAGAGAGTTGATGCTGTTCAGCCTGGAGAAGAGAAGGCTCCAGAGAAACCTTAGATTAGCCTTCCAGTACCTAAAGGGGGGATGGCAAGAATGCCGGGGAAGGACTTTTTACAATAGCACGTAGTGATAGGACAAGGGGCAATGGTTTTAAACTGAAAGAGGACAGATTTAGATTAGCTATTCGGAAGAAATTCTTCACTTTGAGGATGGTGAGGTTGGTTGCCCAGAAAAGTTGTGAGTTCCCCATCCCTGGAAGTGTTCAGGGCCAGGTTGGATGAGGCTTTGAGCAACCTGGTCTAGTGGAAGGTATCCCTGCCCTTGGCATGGGGGTTGGAACTAGATGATCTTTAAGATCCCTTCCAACCCAAAAACGTTCTATGGTTTATGATTCTATGAAATTACTTTAGAGGAAAGAGAAACACTCTTTAACTTTTCACCAGCACCACATCTCCTCTGTCACTGAGTTTTCCCAGTATGATGAATATGAAAATAATAAGATTTTGAGAATTTTGATTTGGACTATTTTATTTTAACAAAATTGACAAAATGGTAATTCTAAGCAGGTAAATTCCATTTTGATCATTACTACAGAGAAACAGACAGCTTTTGATGAATCATTGTTAGATAGAATATTTTGTAATAGCTTAACTTGTTTTTCAAAAGTAACTCCAACAAAGTTTTTGCTTACATTACCTTATCCGTAACTGTTTACATCAAAATCTAATCACAAAAAGTTTTTCAAATATGGTACATGATTAATAACATTCTATGGTCTTTGTATATGATTTCTCAATGATTTATTTTTTCCTGAGAGTAAAAAAAAGGTGGTGTTTCATAATGCTTGATTGCAAAATGAGAGAGAGAAAAGTGTGAAATTATTTTTAATGGAACCAACTTCATCATTTCTCAGGAAGTACTTAGCAATGATTATATTTCTATTTCAGCAAGACTGAAGCTTCTACCTTGATTGTGACTCAACGTCTAATTAAATCCAAGACAACAAATGTCTTTCAATGAGATTAGGGTCATTATTTTTCATGTGCCGTGATGACATTTTGATCTATGTTTTAGAAACACTGTAATGTTCTACTTACCTAAAATCTTGCCAAGTGTGAGGGACTTGATTGCATTGAATTCTGTGCCTGAAGACAGAGTAAACTTCATTCTTTCATTCTGGTTAACCTGAAGAATTGTGCGATGAAGAACAAAGTGGAATAACAGAAGAGATATTTGCCAAATTTTGCAAAAAAGCAGATAAGATCTAGGTTAAAAATAAAGGGAGCTGAGGGAAGCTTTTGATAGTTATAGCATAAAAACGAATCAGGAAATAGATGATCAGCTTCCTCAGATCACTGCTTATAGCTGTGATACTTCTTAAGCATCCCACTTAATAAGCCTTCATTTATCTTATTGATTTGGCTGATTCTTTCTTTTTCATCTGTAAGATGAATAAAAATGGTAAACTTTCAAAAAGATGAAAAAGGCTGTTTTCATTAAAAAAAGCACTCAACATTTAGTTCATAAAGATCAAATATTATACTATAAATGCTCTGCCCCCCAGGGTACCTCTAGAACTCCTTGCCTTTAAGGCTTGTATGAATGCATAATTAAGCAAACTCAGCTCTAGCCTCAAAATACTAACTTGTAACATCCGGTTTTTTTAAATTTTAATTTAAAATATTGAGAGTGTTTACATGCTAATATCTACTATTAGCAAAGCAAATATTTCTATTTCATTATCAAATTTCCACAAAAAATAACAAAAATTTTTCCTTAATAGTCACATTCCTTTGACATAAAAGGGATTGAAGAAAATTAGACAGATAGCCTTACTTATTATCTAGATGCTAATATATTTGTACTGTAGTTTGATATGTAATCTGAAACAAAAAACAAAATGCAAGATCCAAACCAATTGAGAGTAGTCATACGTATTTCACCAACTGTGAAAATTTAACCATTAAACAATTCATTGTATTTTCATATAAAATGATGATGAGGTATTGATCATTTGAAATAGACAAGATGAATAATAAAGCAACTGTCTAACTTAGATTTTTCACTGTGTATCACGAATCTGCTAATCTTTGCTTTATTTACTCGAGATATTAAAACAGAGTTTATTCGGGAGTAATTGCCTTATTGTAACTATTTACTTCATTTTGCTTTGAATCTTCTACTTCTTTATGATAATCCACTTCTTTTGTCTAACTGAATTACCTCTGCAAAGAGCATTTCCTCCTCTCTGTTGATCTTCACATGTTGCAGTTGTCCATCAGCCATGCTTTTGATATTGATACTGAAGACATCAGGATCTTGATGGCTATCGAGTTTGTACCTGATCTGTAAACTTCCTGCAGGGATAAACAGAGCAAAAAGTATAGTACAGTGCATACACAACAGGCAGTCTAGATCATATGCAATGCTTCACAGTTGCATTTGAAGAGCAAAACAAATGTTTGATTTATTTAAGGAATTAACTACGAGAAATGGACATAAGTGAGAAATGAAAGAAGGTGACAGGAAAAGTAATAGTGTTGGAAGTCGGACGTAATGTCAAAGAGAGGCATAAACTGTTACAAATGTGAATAAGGAGTTAAAATTTGTGCAGAAATTTTAGTAAGTACTTTTATAATTCAGATGAGAAAGACTTGGTCTGGTAGATCATATCAATGTGACTTATCAAATAAAACTCAGTATCTTGCAAGTACTGTTCTTGAATAATGTTTACAGTGTCTGGACCTGTAAACTTCTGAGCAGTTGACAAATCAACAGAATGCAGTTAGTAATTTCTACTTCACTTTCCATTTCTTGTTCTTAACTTCCAGCATACTGTCTGTATGCATATAATCACATAGAGACTCTTTCACAGCAGGGCACAGTAGCAGCATGGTTTCCTTGTCGGAGGTTCCCTCCCAGCTGTAGATCATGAGCTACAAATTTCTACTCGTCCTTTGGAAAGCAAGGCCCAGGCCAGACCCAGGCCAGTCACATGATGAGCAGGATACTAGAGTTATTCTACATCTAAATCTGTATCCAGCAAAGCACAGAACATTTGAGCACAGAACCACTGTGACTGCAAAGAGCCTTTGACAAATCCAAAGATTCAACTCAGTCTATGAGGTTTTTAAATAAAAAAGCTTGTAAAAAAATTATCTAGGTATAGAAGAAAGAATGAAAAAGAAAGAACCAACTAACATTTAATGGTCAACTTAAACAGAAACATCAATTATGTGTATTTTCATGGGTATATAAATGTGTATTTTCATAGGTATGTAAGTAGCTTATGAAATTAGTTGAATCAAATGACCTCTGATTAATTTGGAAAATGAACAATGCACTTTCAAAAAGTAGTTAATGTCTTTATTTATCAGGAGGATTCCAATTAATATGCTGCTTGAGTAGCAGGTAGATTAGATACATTTTGAGTTTCATTTCCAAACTTTAAAAAAAAAAAAAATTAATTTGAAATATTTTACTGCATTTCTAAAGGATTTCCAGAAATAAGTATTTTTGCCAACATGATTAAAAAACATCAGTATTGAAAGTTGAAATTGCAGTAGGAGGAATGTTTTTCATGTGGAAAACATTGCTTGATGCAGCTGAAAAATAAATATAGCAAAACAACAAGACAATGCTTAGTTTGTGATTCAGGTCTGGGAATCAGTGAACCTGAGTTGGCACCTATGATGTTCATTAGGTTTCCAGACAACGTATCTGAACACTCACCGTTTCTTGTGAGAATGACTGAGAGGTATTCCTTGTAGAAGGAGCTGACATAAAGGAGTAAGCTTGGTGTCCGTGTTGTTCGAAAGGCAAATGTAATTTCTTCCCTGTTCAGTGTCATGTCAGCATAGAAAGAAGAAGCATGAGAACTGGAATTTTTAGCTAAGGTGTAGTATTCTTGAAAATTATATGTCACAGAAGTGCCAGTCCCAAAATAGGCAGAGATCTCTGAAATGAAAAGTAATTAAGTTTTTTAATATCATGCAAAACAAGACTAAGCTCTTTTTTTTTCTTTCTGCCAGAGAACAAAATAAAATATATTCTTGACTATTGTGATAAAGCTGAAAAAGAAACATAAATGTCATTAGTATTTAGAGCTATAGAGAAAAATAAGACCCAACCTGGGCTAGAGCAAAAGCCCAGTTACATATGTATCTTAAATATCTGTTGCATGAAAAAGTGCTTCTTTTTGTGTAGGTTTAAACATGCTTTCTGCTTTTGTCCTGTTTATCCACGTCCTCAAGCCCAATATGTCCTGTCTTGCATGTATACTTCTCCTACAGAGAAATAGGTGCAGCAGTTTGAATCCTAACATATTGATTAAACTTGGCTAAACCTGGAACACGTATGTGGGAAAAGAGATTGGTCAAGCAGAAGAAAGAAAATGAGAATACAAACTGGGTTATGGTCGTCTTATGGATGAATCACTCATAGAGGCCTTCTGTATCTCTGTGATATCTCACAGCCATTTTCTGCTAAAAGTAACTGTCTTAGACTATTTTGTTTTCACACACAACCTCCACACTTCAGAAAAATTTCTGGAAATTTCTGTAATCTGGCTCAGTATCTTTGACAGAAGGTGACTGAACTTTATTATTATAGGACATCCTACATTTTCAGCAAGAGGAGCCACTCTGCCCCTGCAGAATAATAAACATGGAGTGTGACCTTTAGTTTCTGCTGCTGTTTGTGGGGGAGGAAAAAAGTATCATTCCTCACTCAGAAGCATTAGCTGCACAGCGATAGATATGGAAGGACTTCACATGAGTCCTTTATTCTTGTAGTGGTAGTGGTGGCTGGACAGACGTTGTGCTCACTAATTTAGAGTAACATGGAGTTATGGCATTTAAGCCACTGAGTACTTTGTAGAACACATTTAATGCCTGGAGGAAGCAAGTAATTTTTAGCAGATCGGAACTGTATGCAAACACCAAAAGTTCTAGATAAACTTCTTTTTTTTCAAATTCAAACTTGACAACTTGTGATGATCTACCAGTATGGCACCATCACCAAATAACTCCTTCAAAATGGCTGAAAACTTGGGCTTGGTCCTGTTTCTGATGATCTCATTTGCTTCGTAAAGTAAAAAGAAGTTTAAGGTTCTTCTGCTTCTTCATTTGTTTTCCAAATTTAGCCTTAGTTTTGAGATGAAGACTTGAAGGACATAAATCCAAAAGTTTATTCAAAAAGATATAGTTCCTAGCTTTAATATAACATAAAAGAATCAAAGAAGTTACATAACATTACAGAAAAGATGCTGATCCTCTCAGATAATGTGGTTCCTGCTTTAAATGGTATATAATGAACATATCTCTGGGGGATAGTGTTTAGCAAAACTTACACTTACTGAACAAATTCAGCTGAATGTTCCTCTATGTTAAGCAAAACATAAATATTTTGCAAGCATTTAAAAATATCTTCAAAAGACTGTAAAGATCTTCTTCTGGACTGTATGGTCCTGTTTTCAACAACTGATAAAGCTAAAAGACATGCTTGCCTTTCTTGCAGAATGGCCCGGCATAGGCAGAGAAAGTGCAGTCACAGGAGAATCCGCTGTATTTCTCTCTACATTTTCCACCATTGTGACACAGGTTACCATAGCTGCTGCAATGTCCAGGACAGCCTGGTTCAACTCCTGGTGTTATCTTTGCTCTCTCTTCCAGGTCAAGGGCCATTCCATTCAACTGTAATGAACGAATGCATCCCAAAAATCCTTTCTGCCTGGATGCTGTCCCACCTGAAATAAATTAATATGAGCTTTTAAAAATTTAAAAGAATTGATGTGTAAAAATCTTTTTATGTTTTGGAATCCCTGAACAGTCTATTCTGGATTTCCAAGATACAAGCCTATGCATGTAAAAATATTTATAAATAGCTTTAAAAGCGTATCTGTTTTCTTTTTTGTCAGGCAATTACAGCCAACTCTTGAGGGTTTTAATGGGAAACAAGGATTTTGCACAGTAAGATACCAAGCAATGATACGTATTTCCATTAATTCACAAGGAGTAACATCCAGAAATGTTGGTTTTCTTGTTTGGTTTCTTTTTTCTTTTTTAAAGAGAGAAAGGAGAGGAGAGGAGAGGAGAGGAGAGGAGAGGGGAGGGGAAGAAAAAAGGCAAAAAGTAACCAAGAAAGAAAAAAGGAAAAAGTAAACAGAAAGAAAAAAGAAAAAAAGAAGAAAATAGAAAAAAAATCAAACAAACAAGAAAGGAAAAAAAAAAGGAAAAAAGAAAAAAGGGGATGGGAGAGTGATGAGCCGTACAGTTTTACTCTTTCAATATCCTATGGATTAATCAACTGATTTGTGTGTCTGTCTGTCTGTCAGACTGATGGTATGGACCATGATACCCCACAGTTGATGTCTGGCCTGACATACTTTGTCCCGTACTGCAAGCTGTGCCTGTTCTGAGTAATAGGAAGATTTGTCCCCCTCGCTACAGAGGAATACTGGTCAGGGTACACCTGATTATCAAGAGCATGTGATAAAGATACAGGGCAATCCTAACACTAACAACAATTGTTGCTTCATTTATTTTCACTGTTGTTTATTTTTAGCACACTTCCTGACAGCATTTTATTCATCCTGATTGCTTAGCAAGGTGTGCAATCTACATACGATCTCTGTTGTCCTTTGTTGCACAACTTACTCTGATATTTTCCGTAATTTGCTCTCTCTTAAAAAGTAAAAGCAGAAAGTACTCCACAATATGTAAAATTACCAACTATAATTCTCATGCATTTCCAATTAACTTTTGGTTAAATGTTTCCATGTGATCATCCATTTTTATCCTTTTCTAAGTTTGTAAAATTCTTGGTGTTACAAGGAAAATCTTGACACAGCTGTTTTTATTTACAGATATAATAGCATAAAACCACTTAACAATATGAAGATTTTATATTATCTCTGCCAAAATGAACATTTTGATGACAGCTTTAGGCTGTAGTTCTTCTTCTGGCTTCTTTAGAAAATGAGAGTATATACATCTAAGAAGTAAAGAGTGTTTTAGCCTGAAGAAATCGCAGTCCTAGTATGTTAGTAACTGACTGATGGGTGACTATGACATGTACTAGGTATATGAGATTACATTTAAGTAAAGAGTGCCGCTGCTAAAGTCTTTCTTAGGCTACTGTATGCTTCATTTTTCTCTAGATCCTTTTGCTGGCTTGAGCGAGCAGACAAGCCTGAGTCTGTACCAGTGGACTGTCAGTGGAACTAGTCAAACAGTAAGTCTCATTACCCCTTCCACTGAAAAAAACAATATTTAATTGAAGAAATCAAAATATCTTATAAATAGATGGGAGTTATAAAATTTGCATTATCCAAAAGAGTAGTTTAACTCAAACACAAAATAAACTAGACATCATATTGATCCATGACAGTATTACAGTTGTGGAAACAGATTACCCAAAAAACACTGGCTGCAGTCATAGCAAACCCTTACAAATTATATTCAGGAAATGCATGACACATATGATTCAAATTAATCACTATCATTTGTCATGTCACACTTCAAAAACATTGTTTTGGTGGAATAAAATTTAAAAAATGTCACTTTTATCAGTTCTGTGCCATATTATTTCAAAATAACTGTACAAACTCAGAAGAGATTTCACAGTACACTGTACTATAGTGAATGTTATTTCATTTTACTCCCAGGGTCTTCAATAATTTTCAGAGATTAAAAAATCCGCAACACAAGAAACCAAACAACAGAGTCACTCTTCTAATACAATTATTCACCGGAACATTACCTGAAGAAAACAAGCTAGACAGCTTGCTTGTAGATAAGTCAAAACAGTTTTTAAATTCTCAGCTTTATACAGGAGACGGATGTATATACATTTACCAGAATTTGACAAATTATATTATGAAAAAAAATCACTCTCTTCAATGGTCAATTACTTCATAATAATTTGGTAGAAAGTGCAACTGCCAAAACAGGTTAGTACAGTATTAGATTGTTTGGGAAAAGGACTAGAAGAACTAGAGATCAAGAATCATCAAAATTGTTAAAAAATTGTTTAGGTTTGATATTACTACAAACACCTGCAGAATTAGACTGTTTCTTAGTCTTGCTTCACAGATCAGACCTTGCAGATTCAAACTGATCTAAATTTAACTCTTCATATAATAGCAGTTATATGGTAAATCAAGTCAGAGGACAGCAATATAATTTATTGTAGTATAGTAAACAGAAATTTCCTAGTCCTTCCATTAATAGTTCTAGTCCATTACTGTGAATATAAACTAATTTTAAGATTTCTCCTAATAGCTAGTATCTTGGATATCTTCTTTCTTATAGAATTGTCTTCCATGCTTTTAATCAAAATATAAAATTCTTTGAAGTTTGGTCTAATCTTCATCTTCTACTCTTGATACCTTTTGAGGCACAGGTCAGAATTTGGATCCCAGCACGCAAGGGTTTCCTCTCCTCTTATTTTTTCTCCTAAGGAGCCACAGTTTCTGTAGCTACAGTTTTAGAACACTATTTCCTTTAATTGTGCTCCTCCCCAACACACAGCAAATAAAACATATGTTCATTTAGTGTGATGTGTCTTAGCACAGATCTGGAGAAAAAATCTGTTTAAATGTAGGGCAGAATTTACATGCCTTTAAACTGTATGCCATACATATACACTAGAAACCTATAAATTCATAATATGGGAATATTACAGTAAGAACATTACCATGTTTGGGCCTTTCACTGCAAGAAGGACATTATGCTACTAGAACGTGTCCAATGAACAGCAACAAAGGTGGTGAAGGGCCTGGAGAACAAGTCTTATGAGAAGCGGCTGAGGGAGCTGGGGTTATTTAGCCTGGAGAAAAGGAGGCTGAGGGGAGACCTTATCGCCCTCTACAACTACCTGAAAGGAGGTCGTAGCAAGATGGGGGTTGGTCTCTTCTCCCCAGTAACTAGCTATAGAACAAGAAGAAATGGCCTCAAGTTGCGCCAACGGAGGTTCAGGTTGGATATTAGGGAGAATTTATTCACTGTAAGAGTCGTTAGGCATTGGAATGGTCTTCCCAGGGAGGTAGCGGAGTCACCATCCCTGGAGGTGTTCAAAAAACCTTTAGTTGTGGCGCTTCGAGACATGGTTTAGTGGGTTTAGCGGGCATGGGTGCATCAGGTATATGGTTGGACTTGATGATGTTTGAGGTGTCTTCCAACCATAATGAGTCTATGATTCTATGTACATAACACATAGCTCTATATAACTCTATGCCATAGCTAAATAAACATTAATTATTTTTTCATTATTCTATTTCTGCTTTTCCAGTGTTTCATCTAAATACATTAATGTCATATTTGCTAAAGTATAAAGGCAGAAATATTGAGGTAAACTTCTTCCGTTGAAGCTTTCACAGTTTAGACAGAACCAACCATAGAACTGGATTTTTCCTGTTTGAGTGAAATCAAAGATTACTGCCTTTCTCTTGTTTGCAGTACTAAGTAAACACAGTCTGATTATTTCATTAAACATGTTAGTAAAAGGTAGAGCAGGAGGTCACAGATTCACAGAATTGCAGAATGCTTTGGGTTGGAAGATCCTCTAGTCCAGCCCCCCTGACACAGACAGGGACACCTTTCATTAGATCAGGTTACTCAAAGCCCTGTCCAATCTGACCTTAAACACTTTCAATGATGGAGCCTTCAAAAGTTTTCTGAGTAACCTGAGAAGCTGCACATGAAGACAGACAGCAAAATTTCCTTGAAATTATAGAAGTAAACATCTCCCTTCAGCATATGACATCATCTCAAAAAATTATGCAAATGGAGATCCAAACAAACCTCAAAAGAAGAGAACTTTGATTGAAATCCTGTCCAGTAGTAACCATAACCTAAGGCATTGAATTTGTAATCCCAAAATAGAGCTACATCTCCATGGATTTTTCACAAAGATTCTCATCTCACCGTAGAAACTGTTTTCAAAAGACCTCGTTGCCATCTTATTTTCTCCCC